GGCTCAGTGATTTGGAACTAATTACGAGATAACCGTCGCTATTCGGACTACTATTTCTGACAGTAAGTATTCGCAGTTATTAATATAGTGAACGATTAATCAAAAGATATGACGTGTTCAGGTACTTAGTGTGATTGGCTTTATGATTGAAGGTTACGCCCTAGAGTATTTTTACTGCTTTGTAATTGGTTAGAGTTTTGAAAGTGAATAAACTTGTTTTAGTTGGTCTTGGCGAGTACATCACGAGAGACATAGTCCTGGAGAGTCTTGGGGCGAGTCTTGACGCAATCTAGAGAGAGTCTTGGTTCAGCCTTGCGATAGTCTTGGGGACTTTTCCCCGGAGCGCTGTGTCTTATAGAGTGCTCGACTGACCGACTAAGACGAGAGTTGAACGTATTTCGTTGTGTGCGTCTATTTGACTGTAAAGCTTAAGTGACTTTCCAGATCCCGTACCTCCAGGGGACGCGATAGAGAGACGAGATTCCCCCTGACAAGTGTGGAGAACTCCAGAGAGAAGATTTCCCCCCGATATATATACAACTACTTTTATCTCTCATATTTGACGAGCTCTATAAGTATCAGTGAATTTCACGGATCCGTCAACCCGACTTTTGATGGCACAGTTCAAGGAACTCGACTATTCTATTCTTTTCACTTTATTTTTGTAGGGCTATAATACAGGAGAAAATTGTATGCATTTCGAGTCAGTGTCGGCTATATGTCCACAGGGTGAGTTATGTGTGACTACACTACATTACTTACATTTCCATATTATTTAAGGACAGTACACGCAAATGGCCACTGAGATGTCGTTGGAAATGAAAAGCTCCGGGACTTGTTTTTACCCTTCTAGAATAGTTCATTCTCCCCCTTCATATCGTCCGCTGTTTTCCTATTTAAGTCACGTGGTCTATTGATGCACGATCTGCATAATAATCAACCTATGAATATTCACGATCTAACTCGTAAAATCATTGATACCACGTGATCTGTAAACAAGTCTCAAAATACTTTATGAGAACAAAGTGTATAAGGCGTATAACATGTTCTAAGACGTTTATATAAAAGTCCATAAACACAGTTCATGAGAGCAAAGATTTGACTTGAAAGAGGAGATTTACTGTAGATAGGCAATGGAGCATTGTGATTGGTCGAAATGCACTAGATGGTTTTCAAATACTGTAAGGGAATGGCAGGACAACCAACAGATATGTGTTTATGAGTAAATTCACGATCTACTCTTGACCACTTAAATTACTCCGTTCACTTTCAATAGGTGATTTTCCGTACAATTGCGAGATCTCGCGAGATGTATGAAAGACGCGCGTCGAACGTCTGCCGCAAAAGTCGAACGATTTGATTTTGAACTAGAATTTCTTTATTTCGTAACTCACACCGACCGGCCGATCTTCGACAGAGGAATATTGCTTTCGAATACCCTCACTT